ACTAGAGAACTTTAGCTATTTTTTGAGCTAAAAATAAAAAATATTTGTTAGTAAAATTAAAAACTTTTATATGTAAGAAAAAATACATATTTTACTAATTATAATTAGTAAAAAATTTAAGTATTATATTATTTTTGATTGCCATTGTATTTGTATAAATTTATTTTTATATTTACTTATAAAAAATATTTTTAAATAACTTTTTATAATATTTTAATCAGAATAATTTCTAGCTTGCTATCTTTAATATATAATTTTACAAAATATTATTATATTAATATACTTTGTAATCTTAAAAAATTTTATTTTTATTATTTTAAAGAATATAATGCTAAATTTTTATAAATTTTTAGCAATTTTTTATTAAGTTATAGATAAAATATATATTTACTATTACTTTTTATATTGATTATATATAAAATAAATTAATTTTTATTAGTTATTAATAGTTAAAATTAATTTATTTTATATAATTTTTTTAGAAAAAATCTGAAAAAAATATATATTAAAATAAAATTTTTTGTATATAATAAAAATATATATTATTAATTAATAAAAAACTTAAATATTATATTAATTATAATTATAATTATAATTATATATAAAGTAAATATATTTTTTATAAAATATAATCAAATTTCTTTATAATTATTATATTTAGAAAAATAAAATTGAATAATTATAAAATATATGATTATAAAAAGATTTTTTTAATTAAAATTAATTAATAACTAGAAAATTTAAAAAGAATAATTATAAAAAAATATAATTAAAAGAAATATAATTATAAAGAAATCTAATTATATTATTAAAATATTTTAAAATAAATTAAAAACTTATATTTTAATAATTAAAAATTTTTAAAATTTATATTTAAATTAGAAAATTAGTTTTAATTATATATAATTTATATAATATAATTTTAACTAGAATTAAAATAATCAAACTAATTTATTATTATCTTTAATATTTTAAAGATATAAAAAAGTTTAATTTTTTTATATTATATAAATTGATATAAAAAGATTTGTATCTCAGATAAATTTCAATTTTATCTTATTTAATTAAATTAATAGATATTAAGATTTATTTAAATAAAAAATTTTTATTATATATCTTTCAAAAAAAATTTTTTTTACTAATAATAACTTTTTTTAATTATTATTTTACTATATAAAATTTGATTAAAATTATTATAAAAATTATATAATAAATAATTTGATTACTTAACTTTGAATCTTAATATAACTATTAATTCAATTTTTATAATATTTAGAATATATATTTATCAAATATAAAGCAATCTGCTTGTGTAATTTAAAGTTTTAATATTACAAATTGATAATAAGAATATTTAAAATATCTTTTTTTTTTTTTTTAGTAAAGTAATGTCTTATTTATTATTGAATTAAAGTATAAAAAGTTAATTTAGATCATTTTTTATTTAATATAAAAAAATTATAAAGATTGATTGCAATTTGAATGATTTTTATATTGAGATACAAATCTTTTTGCACTGATCCATATAAATAAATTAAGATTAAAGATTAAAATTCTTTATTAATTTAATAAAATTAAATATTTTAAATAAAATGATTAACAATATAAGTTTAGTTATAATATAATTAAATAATTAAGGTAACGAATAAAATTAATTATAATTAAACTTGATAATATTTTAATAATAAATCTAAGAATAATAATAATTATAAAATATATATAGTAATTTGTGAAAAAATAAAACAAAACGTGATAAAATATAGATTTTTGTCATAATAAATTATTTCTTTAAAGCATTACAATCAAATCCTTCTACAATTACCAATCTATAACTATACTCTTTTCAAGAACCAGCTATAATAAAAATTATTTTTATATTCAATTTAAGATTCTGCTACAATTATATTTTTAAAGATTATTAAACTTGATGATAAAAAGAATTTAAATATAACAAATTGTTTAGTTGGATATATTATAAAGTGGTCAACACTGTTCTTAAACATTTGATACGGTGATGGATAAATAGATAGGCTTGATTGTATTGATTTTTATAAATAATAATTCAATACTTAATAATAAAGAAATTAACGTTAACGAAATTCAAAATTAAAATAAAATAATTAGAAAAGTGACAATATCTTCGCGTTACTTCATTCTTCACACCCTAAACCTTAAAAATAACCACATTTTCACAAATAATCCTTTGCCGGGGGCAAAGGAACCATTCGAACACCTTCAACCACAATGCTGGTCCCGTAAGCTGGATAATCGAACGTGGTAATGCCATGATTTTCTGAGCCAAAATATTTTATGCATCCGGGAAGAAACCGTATAGTTGCTACTACATTGTATTTCGGTTGTAATTCATCTAGCAATAATTTTTCGGAATGGACAAGTACTAAAGGAAATTCGATTTTTTGTTAAATACAAATTGGTAAGGAGGAACATTCATAAAATACATGACAAAGAAGAGATAAAAACCTTTCACAAGGTCCGAGTCATCAGTGTAAATATGAGTTCCCCATGCTTTTGTTACTTCATTGAGAGCATGTTCAAGCGTAAGATATTTTGCTGGGATCCAAACATCGACTTCTTCTCCCGGATTTCCTTTCAACGGTTGAGGATATAGAAAAGCATTCCCAATAATCTATAAATAACATATTGTACAAGTTATTGGATTAATATTTTTTTCCTTCTCGTTACAAATTTTTATTAAACAACGAAAAAAAAACGGTCAACTGGAAATCAGCAAGGGCTGAGGCGCTTTAATACAATTTAATTCAATTAATAATGGTTATTTTTACCTTTGACTTAACTATCAAATCAAAGGTGGGCGGGTTTTCATTCTGTAATGAAAGATAAAGTTCATCTTCATAAGAAATGACGACGCGGTCATTTTCTTCGTCTGTGTAACAAAGTTCGATTCTCTTATCATTTGTGATTTCGAAACGTTCTCGAATCTGACATAATAATGAAGATAACACAAAAAAAATAATATGGATAAATAAATATTGATAAAAAAGGATATAAAAAATTTAATGTTGCTTCCTCATTTGCTCTACCACGACAGAGTTACTATTCTCAATGTTATTGTCTACGTTTAATAAATACCTTGACCTCCAACTCTTCTAATCCAATTTCCTTATGTATGGGTATTTTGCGGGCAAGCGCTTCGCCGAAATTAGATAGATATCTTACTTTGATGATAATTACGCTGTTTTCCATTTTTTTAAAAAACGACATTAAATATTTTGAAATGTTTTGTATTCAGTCAGGCATTATATATACATACATCTCCACTTTTTCTTTAAATGGAAAAAGTTCAATTCAATTTTTATTACTACCATATCGAATATCATAAAGAGAAAAAAGAACAAATTGAAAGTTGCTGAATCAAAATAGGTTATTCATACTTGTGACAATTTGAGCAAATTCTTTATTTGACGCGTGATTTATCATGAAAAATTTCAATTGTATGGCTCCACAACCAATTTAACTCCAGTGTATCGATTCGAATACAATTCTCGATTTTTCGCAAACTCATACCCACGCGATTTTCTTTACACTAATTAAACTTAATTTAGTTATATCGATATTTTTCTTATGGTTCTCACATTCACTTTGGCAACGATTTACACGGAGAATTTACCAAAATTGAATTTATAATATTGGCGAACTCGCGGTTTCAAATTGTATCCAATAACAGACGATCATCGGTAGACTATATTTTTAAAGAGGTCAAAAGTTTTGCCAACAGGTGAACCCAATCGATGCATTTTTGTTTCTTACAAGAATGAACAAAGTTATTAATTAATAAACAAGGAAAAACTTTTTAGTTCATAAAAAAAAGAAAAATCCAAATATCATTCAATGTTCTGCTTTGAAGAAATGTTAATGTCTAGTGTTTTATATATATAGAGAGAGAGAGATTATATATATATATATATATCTATATCAAAGGGTGAAAATATCAGGAGGATAATAGGTTAATGTATATAGGGAGAACGAATGTCTCAATTCAAAATTGATTCATAACAAAATCCCAATCCTCATTTTTCTTCCACCACTCGCTTTCTTCTATTAATTTATCGTGTCTGATTTTTCTTTTCTCTAATCTCATCAATACAACTTTTTCTTCTTCAATCTTCTTTGTCAATTCTCCATACTGTTTTTCCAATTGAGAAACTTGTTCCTCGAGCTGTTTTAATTGCGCCATTTTACGATCTCGTGATCTTTTTGCTGCTTGTCGATTACGTTCCCGGTAACGTTTCAATTTTTCGTCGTTTGATTCAGATGTAGATGAAGTGGATTGAGGGGCTAATTGTGAATGCGAAGACTCTGTATAGAAAAAATTGGCAAGATTGACGGGACTTTGTAGTATAATGTTTTGAGCTGGTTGTATTGGTTTTTGTTCTGCCTGTTCTCGCGAATCCATCATTGTTCAAAAGGAAAAGTTTTTTTTTATTCTCAAAAAAATTTGTGACACAATGAAATCGCACAGAAAGAGTTACATGCAAACGCAAGTCTAAATGATTTTGATTAATGAGAATGATGCATATAACACAAGGAAAAATGCACTATATCCTAAAAAAGATCTCATAGATAATACCTATGTATATCAACCTTTCAGTGCATGTTCATACATTACTTTATGATATCTTTCTTAAGGCGAATCTTATTGACTTTAAAATGGAAATAAGCTAAATATTTTTAAAACAGCAAATGCATAATCAACCCCGCTAAAAGAAAAATTTTAGAAAATTCGATTTATTTAGTAAATTTGGCTTATCGAGGCGAGTTTCCCATACAGCACAGTGAAATTGGATATAACGAGGGGTCGTGCTGGCTTTTTTTTCTTGGTTATATCCGGAGATTCAGTTTTACATGGAGATGGTGACGAAGATATCCAAAGATTCGTTATATCCCAGTTTCACTGTGTAACTTCGGTTTAACAGGGTTGACTAGTTGATGATGTTCGACGCGTAAACCCGACGCGTTTGAAGCGAAAATTAAACAACGCGTGAAAAAAATTGGCCAATATTAAAGAAAAATAAACAAACAAACATTTACCCTTCCAAAAAAGGTGACTGCAGCTTTCCAACTCGAAAAATAACAAAAAAGAGTAACGTGATTAATGTACCACGCCGGCAATCCGACCTCAAATTCCAGCTAATAAATTCAGCCTGTGTCCCAGCCAAACCAAAACAAAAAACCTTTGCATTTTCGTTTCTCCTTTTTTTTCTTATTCTTCTTGAGAAGGAAATATCCCTACCTCGCGAAAAATATACTTTGTAATCTGAAACCAACAACACTCTAAACATACTTGTTTAACAGAAAATAATGTCCACCACAGAAAAGTCTTCCGAACGAGGTTCTCGCTCCCGTGGCAATGAAAACACAGCACCAAATCCTACCACTGAAGAAAGCACTCCCAAAAGTCGGGTAAACATTTTAGTTTGGTATTTTGATTAAAGCAGTCAAGCAGGGAAACTTTAGATACTTGTTTACGCATACAAATGTTTATCTTATTCGATAGAGTAAGAAAGGTGCTACAAAAGCCGCCAAAGCTGTATCTGCCACGCAAAAAACATCTAAAAGTGTAAAAGCAGGTGATTATCGAAATAAATCATTCATTTCATCATCATCATCATCTTAAAGATATCTTCTATTTCTCCATTCTTTAATCTATATTATGTATTAAATTAAATTTAAATTAAATCAGGACTCACATTCCCTGTTGGTCGTATGGGACGTCTTCTCAAGAAAGGGCGTTACGCTGATCGTGTAGGTGCAGGTGCCCCAGTTTATCTCGCCGCTGTCATAGAATACCTTACCGCTGAAGTCCTTGAACTTGCTGGCAACGCTGCTCGTGATAATAAGAAACAACGAATCATTCCAAGACATCTACAACTGGCCATAAGAAATGACGAAGAACTCAATGTATTATTAAGAAATGTTCATATCGCTGAAGGTGGTGTTCTACCTAACATCCATATGGAATTATTGCCGAAAAAGAAAGGCGATAACAAACCTGGAACCACGACCACGGCATCAAAGAAGCCTGCTTCGAAAGGCGGTAAAACAACCTCCACCACCAAAGCCTAAATAATTATTCCTCTTATTCATTTATTAGTTTCTCGTTTACATGTACAAATCAATAAAGGGATAGAAAAGGAATTTGTTAATTTAATTTTGAAAAATGAATATAACGATTTTCAGACTTTCATATTTCCTGTGTAATTTTTCCATCGTTCTTATTAAATGTTACAAATATATATATATATATATACACACATGTAGGGTTTCATTGAAAATATAGACCCTTCTAAAGTAAAAAAAATGATGTATGAATCAGCCTATTTTAAAAAGGTACACATACAAATTTGGTGATCCTTATTACCTAATAAAACCGAAAATCAAAAAATTCTTTGCGAGCAATTCTGTTAAAGTTCTTTCAAATGAGGATTCGCGGTAGCAAATGTTTACGCGTGATTTTCAGAAACCGATATTTCTTTCATGTATTAATAGCGATACTGAACGATTTCAAATTATTGCATGATCTAGCGAAATTCCCAAAAGCAATTTTTAATTTTTCAATAACCAAACGAAAACACCAAAAAGGAAAGCGAGAAAATTTGTATTTTTGCTTCATTACTTTGTTGACTTTCCATTGAACGAAAAATTAACATACGTCATGGATGCACGACGACGATGGTTTTAAACAACGAAATCTCACGTGAAAATTTTTTAATATGGAGAGGTTTCTTTACGCTTAATATCTAAATCGAGGTCAAAAATGAATTGGTCAATTGAGAACGTAACAAGAGGTGCACAACTAGCATGGCAAGGCTCCATGCTCGCCTTTGAAAACCGTCATTTATATAAACACAGCTATGTAAAAGTATTTCTATGGTTATGCTCATTCTCATTAATACTCTACATTCTCAGCGTAACAGTTCTCGCAATTCCTTTTCAAATACTTCGCCTAATAATATATCTGCTATCATTAATATTTCGATATGATCCGCACAAAGTCACGATTGACTATAATCATTTTTTAACAAATTGGGTCTTCAATTTACCATTTCTTGGGCTTCTATTCATGCGATACATCTATCCACAACCGCTAGACTCGTTATTTCTCGAGTCACTACGGCAAATAGACATTGTATACTTGAGAAAACATCAAGGTGAACAGGAATTACGTCCGCCATACGCATCAGCATTAGAGCGGTACGACTTGGATATAAATTACTGGGCTGAAATGCGGGCATACATGATGCGTACATTTCGTGATTTGCGTTGGACTGCGTTATTATATTTGGCATCGTTGATACCGTTGGTTGGGAGGCTTATATACCCGGCAGCTAGTGCGTACGCACTCGTGAATTCCTTGGGACTTTATCCAGCTACGACTGTTGGCGTGTTGATGTATATTACACCAGGAACAAAAAAATTTGCCATCCTGTTTCTCGAGACGTTGTTTTCGTCGCGTACCTTGATGCGTGAATTGTTGGAGCCGTATTTCGCGAGAATTCCGTTTAGTAGAGAGAAACGAAAGAAATGGTTTAGAGAACGTGAAACTATTCTGTTTGGATTCTCGATCGCGTTCTACCCTTTTATTAGATTGCCATTAGTTGGTATGCTGTTTTTTGGAGTGGCGCAGGTATTTTTCTCTTGATTATTATTTTATGCATGTGTTATCATTATTTTTGAAGTTAATATTTTTTATCTTGTCTTTTGTATTATTATTATTATTATTATTATTATGATGATGATGATGATGATGATGATGTATATCATTATTTTGTAATCAATATTTTTAACTCTTTTATTCTAGGCTGCTGCTGCTTTATTGCTAGTAAAGACTACTGAGCCACCTCCACCCCCTGGCTTAGAAATGGAATATGTAGATGATATTAAATATAAAGATAACAGATTGCAAAAAAGACAACATAAACAAGAATAATTAGAATGTAATAAGAATGAAAATAATCATGTTATTTAACATATAATGACTGATACCAAGACTATCATTGTAATAATATTTTGGGTGTAATTTATTTTCAGAAACAATATCAAAGATGAAAATGAAAATGATAAGAATAATGTAAAAAATTAAAGATGTACCCACTCGTTGTTTCTTTATTGGATATTTTTTGTCCCGTAATTAGGGAACAGAAAATCAAATAATGTTCTTTTCTTTTTTCCTTTCTTACAAACATCTGAACGCCGTAGAATCTTCAAAAGCTTGCTGTCGTCAATTAAACTTGGAATTCGTTCCGCTCTCACGCGAGTATGATCACACAGAAAAAAAAAGATACTTTATACCGTCCCCCTGAATTCTACTATAATAGGCCAATCCAAGGATCTTCCAGCATTGATTTCTTATAGTACGCGGTAACATTGAGTTCCGCAACATTGACCGGTGGCGGACGAGAAGACGTAGGCGTTGACCATGGCGAGATGCCTCGACCTCTTCCTCTTGGTGCATATGGTGTATTAGCAAGAGTATTATATCCACCACGTCCACTACTGTTGCCACGATGATTCATATTCATACCTCCGGGAGCATAATTTGGATATGATGAAGAACTATTACGTGGCGGTCGCTAAAATTAAAAAATAAATAAAAAATCAATTCATTAATAATTAGGGTTGCTCTTCTTTTCTCCGACAATGAAAAAAAAAAATTATTTAACCTGCGTAGTATACGGCGTATTCCTATACGATGAATTATATGGAGGGTTTTGCCATCTACCACCGCCCCTTCCGCCCCTATCAATATTGTAATCAGGACGCCAACTACTACCTCTCGGAAGAGGTGGTGGAGGAATTCCTATTCCCCTGTTTGCGAGTGGAAGAGGCGGCGGCGGCAGTGGCGGTGGAGGTGGATATCTTGGCCAGTATCCTCGATTATTCGCACGCCAACCTCGGCTATTCATAGGTAATGGTGGTGGTAGCGGTGGTTGATGCCTGCTACTATTTGTACTTCTGCTATGACTACTGCTATTACTATTATTATAATGTCCTCCTGTGTGGCTTCTGCTACTCCAACCATTGTTGTGTCCATGATGTTCAGAATGTTTTCCTAATTCATTTCCACCTCCACTTCCACCTCCTCTTATTGTGTTTGTGGTCTCGTGTTTTGAAGACGAATAAGTGGATGTCATGTTCTTTCGAGTGTATAACTTTTTCTTTGCGTTATTGGTTGCCACTCGATTGGGAGGGAATGCAAAGCTAAAATAGAACGAATGAATTAAATGATGTTTATTAATAAAATTTGTTGATTGTTGTTGATTTTTTTTTATTTATTTATTTTTGCAGTGTTATTCCTAGATCAGATGACCATTCAAAACACTATCAAATTTGCTTTTTATATTTCGTGAATTACTATTGATATTGATTAGAATAAGATAACTGGAGGTAAAGAAATTTATCAATAATAAATAAAATTTAACGAAACATTAACACATTCAAAATATTAGTTGGAAATGTAGACTGTCTTCAATTTCCAAAAAAACTTTAAATCTTAAAAGTTACAGTATGCATTAATCTATCATGCTTGGATGATCATCGAAAGAGCAGCAGTTTGCTTTTTATATCAATACACATATCAAATTTGCGCCAAAAAGAAATTAGTATATTGATCATGGAAACTAAAGGGATTCTTATGAATCACGTGTCATTTGTGAAGAGTGGTCTATTACGACATTGTCTTGTAAGTTATCTTTTGTTTTCCCTTTCAGTTCTTTTCGTGTCAATTAGTTTAGCTTTATACTTTTTTTATCGAACCTAATGACCGAAAATCACAAACAGCTACCAACACTCATAGGATTAATCCTCATTGGCCAATTTTCTTTCGATTAATTTCTGGACCCAGCTCCCCTGATACGGGGATATTACTGACTTAACTTACCAAAAACTGTTCAAAGAGCATACATAACCTAAACAATCATAAACGAATTAAATGAAACATTGCAAACCTGCACTGATTGGTTCTATTCGGTTTTCAGTTAAATAGTCTTCTCATAATGCATCCCTCACTTTTAATGAAATGTGACGCGTAATAACGAGCGTAAAGTTTATTATGTCAAATTAAATAGTTCTGCTATTAATACAAATTCTCGCCGTAGTATTCCTTTTTTTTATTTCTATATTACCGAAAGATGTCCACGATCTAAACTTGAATACAAGATATTTCCAGATAGATCTTCCACTTTCTTAAAATACTGAATTGGTAATATACCGTTTATTCCTGTGGATAATATCACTCCGTTTTCTGATCGGAAGAACTCTATTCCATCTTATAGGGAGATAATAATAGTTATGAAATATAATCGTCGTTATGTAATGTATACTAAGAATAATCATTAATGTTACCAGCCATGGCTTTTTCAATATCCACGTATATGAATAAATCACAGGTTGCTCGAACACCTATAATAAAATTAATTTATCCGAGATAGACACATTTATTTCTCATGACTTGCTTTCATAAATTAAAAGGAATTAAAGGCTTACCACTTGTAACATTTGGGTCGCCCCACCGACCGACAGAAAAATGCATATGATTTCTATTCATCTTTGAAAGTCCTGTTGAGTCTATAACGGTAAAAATTAAATTTAAATCTTTACGAATTTTCAGTCCATGTTTCTCGGTTTAGGTCTTACATATAGCTTTCCATTTACTTAAAAAAGTTCCATGTATTACTTGAGGAAATAATGCAGCATCCGTGATTTTTTCCAATTCTAATTGTTCAACCTTTTTTTTTTCGTACCTCACAAATTAGAAAAATAATCATAATCAGAGCAATAGAGATACCAAAATAGAAAAATAGAAACTTACCTCTATACTATGTCCTTGATTCGCACGAATATACCATGTAGATTTTCCATCACCACTCACTTCTTCCAAAAGTTTGAATCGTTGTTTATCATTATTCAGTACCACTGATTCTATATCGGCAAATGTTCTTCCGCGTAATTTAGGTAGATTTAACTGTCTTGTTGTAGATATTTTTTAGACTATTTTTCAATAAATTGAATTCTGTAATGAGGAAATATTTTTACCAATTCATCAACTTCAATGTATCCATCTGATCTCAACTGTAAGCCTTCTTTCGTAGCTCCATGTCTCAATATGTAGGACAACGTTTTTGAAAGACGAACGGTTGGATCATCTCTTGCTTTTCGATTCTTGTGTGAAGACATTTTTGTTTTAATCCTCTTTTGAAATTCTATCCCATTTATAGATAATTCTTGTAGCACAAAACTTACCGAAAAAGTCGAATAAATGTGAGAAAAACTACGTGTTTAATGTTTTCGTTACTAACATCCTTTGCAACAAGAATTACCTCAATAAATGCCGAGAAATCTTCACAAGCTTTTACTTGTATTCATTCATGGGTTTAAAGGAGACGAGCAAACTTTTAAAGTATGTGTATTTTCGTATTGATTCCATGTTTCTTTAAAAAATTTACAATATTACACGCATGCATGTCTTCGTTTACACAGGACTTTCCAGAATGGCTCGCCGTGACAATGAACAACCAACCAAACCTTATTACCGAACCAATAGTCTTTAAACAGTACGAAACACGTGGTCAGCTGGGGCAAGCTGTGGATAACTTTTGTGCATGGCTTGATGATGAGGTGAAATCACATGAAGAGGCAAAAATACCAATTGATGGCAAGAATGTATCTGTTCCTGTTTGGGTTTGTTTGCTTGGTCATTCGATGGGTGGTTTGGTAGGTAGGTGAATATTGAGTTTGATTTGCATAGAAGAGTGATTGATTTTTATTAATTCTTTTTCTTTAGCTGCGGATGCTATTCTAAAGTATAGGGAATTAGGCGCGAAAAAATCACCAAAGATCATAGGACTTCTCGCTTATGATACTCCTTATTATGGACTAGCCTTTGAGATGGTAAACGGCGCATACTCGTAAATATCCCAACTTATTCATTAATTGAATCAGAAAAAAACAATTGGATCAAGTTAACATAATAATTCATTCAATAAATAAATAAAGTCGCGTCACTGAATATACATCACTGCTTACATCAGGAGCAGTATTAGCAAAGTCGTTATGGGATACCAAAAACAAAGACAAAATCACAACTACTACTACTTCTTCCAGATCATCTGCTAACAATACTACAACGACGACGACGACGACGACAGCGACAACTTCAAAGGGTGGATTTGGTGCATTAAAATGGACCGCGGCTGCTTTGGCCGTTGGTGCTGTCGGTGCAATGACATACAAACATAAAGATAAACTGGGTGTGGGCATGGATTGGGTTAGTGATCATTTGAAGTTTGTTGGTGTATTAGTGAAAAGGGATGAATTGAAAAAGAGGTAAGAATATGTGTAATAGTATATATATATATATATATATTTGAGCTTATATCTCTCATAACTTCTTTTTTTCTGTTGATAAAGACTTGATACGTTAATACAAGATCCTAAGCTTATATTTCATTGTTTCTATACTCTGGTAATTTTCGAAATAAATTTTCGATATTCGTGAAAACCTTCCAAGAATTCACTCCATTTTTTTGTCACTTAAATAGATCCCCGCCAAGAATTACGGTGATAGAACGAAAACCTTTATCTCTCTTCCACCAGAACACATGCGTCAATACTTCTCGCCATACGAGTGTGAAGTAAGCGATGAGATTGAAGCACACGTTTCCATGTTTGATCCAAAAACCAATCATAACTATTATATTTTGGCTCAAAATACTACGTCTCAATTGCTAAAAATGTTGGAAAATTTCGAGTAGACGAATAGAATTTTCTGTTTTCAGAAAATAGTAACGTTATTATTGTAAATTTTGTGATTGTAAACTATTAGAATTAATTTATAATTCTGTCTTTAATTACTAATTCCAATTAAAATATCGATACTTTTTTATATTACATATTTTACGATAACGCATTTACGAGAAACATTGAAATATATATAATTTGATTTTTACAGGTTACCACCAAATTTTTTGAAATCAAATAAATAATAATAAATAAAATTCATACTCTTCTTGATGGTGGCAACGTGCACTTTATGAACAGACGGATTCAAAAACGGTTTTATTAATTTAACTTCAACTTTCGGTTTCCAAAAAGAAATAATTACCACCTAAATTGTTAATTCATTCAGATTTTTAATATTTGTCTTTGAATATCCTTTTTGCATTATAATAATAATGCAAGCTAAATACGACACTTACTGGATTTCTGTTCTTTATCTTTTAGCGAGTCTTGCTTGTTAATCCTCGGTCGGAAATTGGTGGGATCACGTCGGAAAGTGATTTGAAGACTCGATAGAAAAGCATTCATACCTGTCAACAGAGACTGAGGTCTATCAGGTGATAAGAGAATTTTAGCATTCCAAATTTTCTTGTTTAGCAACAAAATAATAAAAGAAATTATGCATACGAGTTCGCTGTCGCTTCTACAGATGGCGTGCCTTCATAAACTACGACTCGGTCGGCCAAATATGTGGCCATAATGAAATCGTGCTCCACCACAAAAGCTGTTTTCTTATTGTGAAGAATAAATCTAGAGAATGAATTTTTATGAGTTTAGTGAAAACTTAAAAGAGAAAGTCAACGCTTTTTCTTTTTTCAATTATCTTCCTAATTACCGCTTAATAACTCTAGCAGCAATAATACGTTGCTCAGAGTCCAAATAAGCAGATGGCTCATCAATTAAGTAAATGTCAGCCGGCTGACCTAATGCCAAGACAAGAGCAACACGTTGAAGTTCACCTCCAGACAAGTGAGTGACCTCCTGATCGATAATCGGATCAATTTGCATCGGTTTGACAACATCCGTTTGAAATTGAGGATGCATGAACGAAGATTTTATTTTTTTGAGGAACAGCATGCGAACTGTGCCTGGGAATTTCGGGGAAATTTTTTGAGGTTTATAGCTGACATTTAGTTCGGGAACGGATTCATCACCGTCTGGTTGAAGTCCACCGGCCAACAAACGAATAAACGTAGTTTTGCCTGTGCCATTTTCACCAAGCATAACAATAATTTCGGAATCGGTGAATTCTCCTGGCTGTATATGAAGCTTGAAATCACCTAAGAAAAGAAAATTTGGAAAATTAAAACACATCGATTTTCTTGGCAAATTTGGCATTTAAGATCAATTTACCTAAGGTTTTGGCCATGGCAGGATATTTGTATCGTCGATGTTTCTCTATTTCTTTTTCATCTTCAGCGGTTTCTGCTAACTTGAAGGTCAAAGATTCTTCACGGAAACGTAAATTCTCTGTAGGCACTTTGCCGTCCAAAAAGATGTTGATTCCTTCCCGAACAGAGAAAGGCATAGTAACAACGCCATAGACTGAGGGCATTCCATACAATACACATATGAAATCCGATAAATAATCCAAAACTGATAAATCGTGTTCAATTACTACGACATATCTAAAAATCGCATTAATTATAAAAGCCAAATTATACAAGAATAATGTATCTTTATTAAATATATATAAAGGTTTCTTACTTAGTAGGTGCCAATAAATTTCTTATTGTTCTAGCAGCATTCAATCTTTGCTTAACGTCCAAGTAGGATGAAGGCTCGTCAAACATGTAGCTATAAAAGAAATTCAAAATTAACAAAGAGTATCCAACTAAAATCAAAAATTGATTTCAACTGATAACAATCTCTAATACCCACATATCAGCATTTTGAATGCACACTATACCAATAGCAAACCGTTGAAGTTCGCCACCAGATAATTCTTCTACTTGACGATTGAGCACATCCTTTAAATCCAACGCATCGACAATATCTTCTTTGTTATTTCGCTCCAGTTTACCATCGATCAGTGTGGTGACCGAACCTTTTACAGCTTTTGGAATATGATCTACGTATTGTGGTTTGATTATAGCCTGATTTTCAAAATGATGGATTTTTTTCCTTTATAGTTGCAAAATTGAAAGATTGCGATACGAATGCGAGACACTTGGAATGATGAAATAATATCCTCTCCGTCATCATCAAAGTAATTGTTGTTATTTATGGTTGCATACCTTTAAATTATCTTCCAATATTTTTGTAAAGTAATTTTGAAGTTCAGAACCACGGAAATATTTTAAAATATCTTGCCAATCTGGTGGATCCTATGATTACGTCGAAAGGATGCAATTAGAAATCTTGAGTGTTAAAAGAAATGACCGTTGCAAACTTACCTCGAATCGTCCAAGATTAGGTTTCAATTTTCCCGCCAAAATTTTGATAGCTGTGCTTTTGCCAATACCATTCGTACCAACCAACCCCAGCACCTGACCAGGCCTAGGAACCGGTAATCGATGCAATTTGAAGGAATTCGCGGAATATCGATGTGTAACTTCTTTCTCCAAATTCGTGGGCAAATTTATGATCATGATAGCACCGAACGGGCATTTTTTGATACAGATACCACAGCCAATGCATAGTTCCTCGGATATAAAAGCAACTTTGCTATCGGGTGTGACCTCGATGCAAAGCTTGCCTATGTTTAAGAGAACAAGTGTAATCTTTTAAAAAATTATTCCAATCACTAATGCCGCGAAGATATTTCTTACCCATTCTCACCACTGGACATGATTTTTTACACTCTTGTCTACATTTTTTTGGTTTGCACTTATCAGTGCTAACAATGGCAATTCTGGTAAGTCTATCGGCCATTATTACTCTTTCTATACGAGGTGACAATAGAATTTCGATCTGAATAATTTTTTCGTTTTATACGTTACAAAAAAGTCATCTGATTTGGTTGGTAATTAAATAATTCATAATTGGATCTTTTTTTGAAGTGGTATCGTTAAGATGGAAATAGGAATCAAATTAAAGCGTCGTCCGGATTTACCGAATTCGCTTCGATGGTCCAACGATAATCAAATTGTGGTTGTCACACCTTCAGCATTGTATATTTGCGTGAGTCACTAACATTAATTCATCATAAAAGTACATAATAAAGCTCTTTTATGCATATAATAATTCTTTAGACACCTAAATATAAAGGATCGAAATCCGATGAAGGATACACTACTACTTCTAATGCTACGTCTACATCAATACATCCAGATCTTTTGAGATTTGAGGATGTAGTGATAAATAATCCTATTCCAAAGAAATCTGATGGTAGAAATTTGATCTTTTTGAATTTAATGAACTTGGGTGTATGTTACCGATTAAAAAAAATTAGATTTTGGAACCCAAATGATTTTCTTTTCTCCAGAAGGTTTTCGATGTGCAACGTGGTCTCCTATTGGTTGTTCATCCTGTAATGGGTATGATCATCATCTGAATCTTTGTTAATTTCATGGTATCTATAAATCACATGATATATTTTTAGTTGTTTATTGGCTGTAATTACGACACACTATTACGTCGCTGTATATGGAACAAAGATTGGATCTTTCCCGACACAATGGATTGAGGTGAACTACGAATTTTTTTTACACGAAACATTTTTTCATGTTTATGCTACTTGTTTACTAAATATATTGTGGATGATTCGAAAATAGATCGTAAACTTATCTCAATTGTTGATTGAGAATTTATATGATGACGATGATCACATTCAATTAAAAAATCGGGATGGTATTTTTGAAAAAACATCGGACGAAATGTTATCAACGTGTATGTGAGATAGTGATGATAAAGAACGATAATTTTATAGCTCTCTTTTTTCGATTAAAAATTGACATTTGATATCAATAATGTATTTTTTATAGCCATCGATTGGTCATCACGATGTTTTCCTGCTGGACGTGATCCTTTTTCAATTATTGCCGTGGGAAGTAAAGCTGGTACTATAACATTATGGAGAAGGTTAATTACCTTATTAATATACTATGTTTTCAAAACGTTGAGAAAATTAATGAAAATTTCCTCATTTCACTTATACTTTACGAACATCAGTTACAAAAATAATATTGAGTTTATTCACAAATTTAAGGCACACGATTCTTGGGTGGTATCGATGAGCTGGTCACTTTGGGTAGAACTCGATGACTGCACTCGTATGTACGTTAATCATATTAATATTCATTTGTCGTGGTTGGAAATATTTGATCAATGATTATATTTATAAATAGATGCGGTTAACTTGGTCACGGGATGTGTTGATGGTTCAGTAAGCTTATGGAAAATATTATTTTCGTTGCCAATTCTAGATGAAGAAAACGACAACGATTTGATAAACACTATAAAAGTTTCATCTGAACTTCAAAAACCATTGCTCATTGCCGATTCACTTATACCTTCGATTATAAAATGGAATTGCGACATGGTAAAAATTATTTCTTTTCAATGATTTCAATAAATATATTTTCTGATCTTTTTGATCCTTTCTTTTGTAACACATAGGATGATAACATTGATCGATTAGCATTTGCAAGAGGAAACAAATTGTATGTCTTGAATGCGCCATCCCCATTTCTGTTAAATACTGATAAGTGCGTTTACCTAGAGAATTCATTTTCATTGTCGATGTCTATTACAGGTAAAAGTTGTAATGGATATTTTCGTTTATTAAGTCACTAATATGTATTTAGTGTATTTTTGTAGGAATGAATTGGAATTACAATGCAAGTCAATTACGCGTTTTCTCTGTTGATGGAAAACATTGGACATTTGATGTATCGGAGAATTCTATGTCTATTAATCAAGATGTGACAGATTTTATAAGTCAAATGATAGATGAAATTTGTCTGGACCAAATTAACAATGATGACGTATTAGATCAAGATGAGAAGGAGGTTGAAGAAGATGAAGATATAGGAGAAAGAAAGCCTTTATTTTATGGTGTTGATGCTTCAGCGAATGGTCTTTATTTATGCATCATTTTTGGGTAGTATAAGTTCTCTTTTTTTTTGCAGATTTTATATAACTTATTATCATTTTTCATTAAGAATTTTTTATATCTAGAATGATATCTCAAACGGAAAATGAATACGTGACCGACAAAGTCGATAACTCTTATTTAAGTCTTTGCTTAGCTGAAGAAGAGAATTCATCAGAAATCAGTCTCTCTTTAATCTCTCGAATAAAAAATATACTAAAGAACAATAGATTCATTCGTAAGATTCTTTCTATCATTGTTAATCTCTGTTCAATTGAAATAAATATACCTCTACTACTGACGTTTGTCTTTTTAGTTCGAGAAAAATCTCCAAGATACCAATTTTGGGATATACTCGAATACTTTGATGCAGAAAGACAATACAATGACCAAGATTCATCGTTTAATTGTTTATTGAAAGCATGTAATGACGTTTGCGACGATACGTCTGCGAAATCAACAACCTTGGAAGAGAATCATTTTCAATTTAAACCATTGTATCTTTATGATACGTAAGTTCTTTTTTGTCAATATTTGATTAAGATTCTTTTATTTTGATTTCTCATTGATTTTTTATTTATACGTGCTATATATATATCAGTAATAAATTAATAGACGCTATATCTCAAAATTGGAGAAATAGTCTTTATATCGACGTTTCATTAAATGCGCTCCGCATAAATACCTATTTATATAGCAATATCGGGGTGATTACAAAGCTTATGTGAATTTTCCTTAATCATCTGACGTTGTTTTCAACTTACTCGACGATTTTTTCCAGAAAATTAGTGAAATACGAGATTACATTGCCGTTTTCGAAAGATCTCTGATTCGCCAAGTATTGAATATTGTGAAAACATGTATACAAAATGGAATTGGAATTGAGAATAGTAATTTTTTTTATTACTTATTTGTTATCACTTTTTTATATGATGATTATTAATATTTAAATTCATAGAGCTGGACCAATTGTTTATATTGAATCTATGTGATAGAACGTTATTTCATTATAAGGAGGATTTAACATTGGTCGCATTAACAGATGTTGCGTACACATATTTAAGTCGAATGGATAATTGGGATGTAAATGCGTCTCTAGGCAATAATGATAAATCAAAGTTAGCTATGAGAGAACCTTGTCGAATCTGTGGAAATAATATCCTTTGTTTTTTTATTAAAAATATAGGCTCGCTTACTAAAATTATTTTTAACATTACTTCATCTTTTCTCACGTGTCTCAACAGAAGGTAATCTTCGTTGTCGGTGTGCCAAAGGTCACGTTTTCGGTAAGATAAATTTAAATTCATCATGAACCAAAATGTTACTACATTAACAGCATATATTCTTTTGATAGATCTTTGCTCGATAACTCTCTGCCTGATAACTAATCCGTATGTAAGATCGTGCCAGGAATGTAATCGTAAGGCACTTGCCATCTCTCATCCTTTGTATGTAGATGAAACATTGAATTCTTCGGTTTTCGTCAAAGCGATTATACAAGCATGTGATGTGTGTCTTTATTGTGGAAGTAGTTTTAGTTTCAAAGTATAGTTTATGAAGTCTGTATTATTTATTATATTATGTAATTTATGGCTTTAGAAAGATTTTTAAATTCACATTACTAAATCATAAAATCAAAAATATTCGTTAAATATATACTATACTATCTAGCACGCAACAACAAAATATTTGTTAAGAAATTTTAAACTCTCATTGGATATCATCTTCGTGTGCGTCAATATTATCGTCGTCGTCGTCGTCGTCGTCCTCATCCTCATCATCATCATCGCCATTAACACTATTATCACCCATATTTCTTATAAACCCATCAATGATAGGAACTTCGCCACGTTCTAATTTACGAAGGTAAGTACGTCGTTGACGTTCTGATAATGTTGCCAATATCTGATTATGTCGTTCTTCTGATAAACTGTCTTCCTTCGTGTCATTCGAGCTATAATTTATAGCTAAATTTAATCAGATTATCCAAGAAATGAGTAAAATATTAGATAAATTGATTCATACGAGATTTCCGCATGTTCCAAGCATTTCGCACATACGCCTTTTTCATCCGCACATTTTTGGCACAAGATATGATACGCTTCTTTGACAGCTTTTTCTTTGCAATTTACACTTTGATTTAAAAGATCTTTAAATGGGAAATCCTACAATTTATTTTAATTGATTCATTTTAAACTTCTTAATTGTCTTACCAACGCTTTGGCATCGATAGTGGTTTATACTTTTTGAATTTTTTCCGCCATTCGACAATATCTTTACATCTGTGGCATCTGATCGATTCGATTGAACAGTTGATATTTTTTCATTGGATTACTTTTAACACTGCAAAAGGAAACAATACTTTTTAAAAAATTATAATAATATTACAGTCCAGAAATCGGCAAAGAATTAATATATTTTGTTTTTTTCGAATTTTTGTTCGGCTGGAATGCAAAGGCATTTTGATATTTTTGTCCTTGTTTCTTTTTACCACTAGTTGAAACACGTTTTTGTGTTTGGGATGTTGTCTTTATGTTGTCCATCCTTTTTTATGTAGGAAAAGACTTTAAGGTTCATCATATCGATCATTTTATTAATATTAATAGATGCGTAAAGATTTTATTCATTATTTCTGTAATGTGATAATCCATTTTCAAAATGTGAAATTGAAAAGATGTTTACAACCTGAGCCTTTGTATAATTCTGATAAAAGTAAATGGTAATAATTTAAATTCAGGTTTATTGACGAGACTATATAATGGAAAGTAGACAAATATAAAGAGGCTTCAAAGATATATTTTACTTGACAGCTTATATAAAAATACAAATAAAGTATGTTGTTATCATCATCTTAAAAAAAAAAAAAGGGATAAACGTGTTCTTTATTCATATAAAATTGTTTATCAACAAAATCATAGAAAAACTTTAATTACACCCTCTCGATCTCCTGTTATTAGCATTGGATATGGAACCTCGGTGATTTGAATATCGTTAATACAATCCAGATGATTCTTTAGTAGTTGCTGTTGTTGCATTGCAACCAAACCGACCCGTCCATTGGGTCCTTTATTCTTGGATGTGCTTCGTTTATTGCTCGACGATCCTCCTCCACCATCTCTGCTCGAATTCGTTGTTGTGCCACTTGAACGAGAATGTGGATGTGACTCATAGTGTACAGTTATATTTTCGAATTGTTTTGAACTTTATATTCGTAATGTTTATTTTTGCAAGATAATTATAAGAAAAATAATTGCAAAATAAATACAATCAATTCATTGAGCAAAAGAATTAATTACCTATAAGATGGCTTGGGGTCATCAACATCCGATCCAGAAATAACGAATGAATCTTGAATTTTACTTCGATCCCAGAATCGTATTTTTCGATCCGAACCGGCAGTTATCATATAATTACAGTCATCCGGGTAAAGTAAAGCTCTGACTGAATTATCAGCCGAATAACTGCTTTCATGCGGGGTAAATGCACTTCTTAATATATCATTAGTTCCGGGAGGATCAATGGCCTTTTATTAAAAAGCGGATTCGACAATTTATTAATTGGCACAGAAATTAATATTTAAAAAAGATGAATGAACTCTCTTAACCTCACCTTGAATGTGTCCAATGATACACCACCCATTTTTTCGTCCCCACCTTTCACTAAATACACTTCTTTACACTCTACTTTTTCTATGTCCCACACGGAAACCTCATTTTTCCCAGCAGCAATTATCACCCACCACCGATTTTGACCGGTCTGCGGATGCAATAACAATTTACTTATCCGACTTTTAGTCGGGTGAACCCATGATCTTAATTGTATGCGAAACCTAAGATCCCATAATGTGAATATGCCTCGCGAAGTACCAACCAAAAGCCATTTATGACTTTTATCGGTCACCATTGCGGTGATTACACCATGACTCTTTGGATTCTCGAAAGTCCATGCAATTTGCATTGTTCGCAAATCTAGCCCACAAATATTTCCGGTTGAAGTAGCATAAAGCAGTATTGATTCTTTGTTGTTGTCTTAAGTGGTGTAAAGAATATTAGTAATCATAACAAAGCTTGATCATCATTAAAGTTTATTTTCTTACCTGTGTAATAGTGATGCATTGCAACAGCAAACTCATCTTCTAGATAGTATTCGCGTATAGTCTGTGGTTTTCCATACTTTCCAGAAGTATTCCCCGGAGTAAATTCAACAAAAATAACGTGAATACTACCATTATTTGACGCAGCGGCAATACTATGTGTACTATCGATGAATGTCATACATTTTATTGGACCACCTATAATAATAAAAGTAAATTATTCGTAACTTAAAAGTCTAAAATATTATATATATATATATAATCCATACCCAATAAGTTATAAGTTAATCTTGATCTGCTGGTAACATTCTTTTCTAACCGCCCACAATCCCATATTTTTATCAGCCCATCATCCGATCCCGATGCAAAGAAATTGTGATCGGGAGATACACAAATTTGATTGATGGCTCCTTTATGTTCCGTAAGATGAGCCACTAGGGTACCTATTAGAATATCCAAGAATGGATTCAATAGTTTTAAATGCTAGGATCAAGCAATTAGCAATTAAATTAAATATAAACAAAAGATTACCTTCTGGACGCCAAGTTGTAATTGTTCTCAATGCACTTGCTCCTCTTGGTACTCTTCCTTGACGAGGTGAAATTTGTTTGCTTTTCTTTTCACCAAATTCTGAATTATCGTTAATATTATCAAAATTCTCCATATATATGTTATGCTAAATATCAGTGTGAAAATAATACCTGTCATCTCATCTGGAAATTGTTGTAAAAACAGGTTATCCAGTAATAATTTGACATTCCTATCATTCCCCTCTAAAATAATTAGTAGTAAATAGAATGTTGAGTTTCAAAAGGGAGAGACGAGATCACCTACCATATGTGCTAGAAACGTGAGCTCTTGGAATTGGTCGTGTTTGTTTTTGAATTGTTGATGATATCTCATTGATTGGCGCAAGTGCAGAGTTCTGGGCAACTCCTTGTTTAACAATAGGGATTTCTGCATCGCCTCTTTCTAAAGTACCTTTAGCCGTTGTGGTATTCGTACTTGTCGCAGGTGCAGCTTTCGGCCCATCAAGAGACTTACCCCCAGACAATGTGATATACTTTTCGCGTAGCGGTGTTGCTACCGATGAAGTAATAGCATTGGAAGGGCTCGAGGGAATATTTAATGGGATTGTTTCTTCATTTTTTGGTGGAGTAGATGGGATTACCGCAAGATTAGGAACAGCTGGGATTGCCACTGGTGCGCTTTTTTTACCAGAATTTTTGTTAGCAAGTTCACTTCCTGAATCTGCTTGACCAGTATTCGACATTCGACGATTACGACCATTTTGTTTCTGTGCTTGTAAATTGTTCTCACTGTTGAATCTAGACGTGCTTGCTATGTTGGAATTATCGTTAAGTGATAACTTGCTGCCTAAAGCTCCAGGAAGACGGAAAGGCGCAGAACTAGAAGAAATTGA